CCTGGTGGCCACCTGGAGAACAGCCTGTGAGGGGCGACAATGAAAGGAGGTTGGATCAGACCAGGGTGGGACAGTGGACGCTATCAGATGAGGCCCGATCCTGGCTTTCAGTTGAAGGTCACTGTTCGATTTTGGCGGATGACTGGATGTGCACCGTGAATCAAAGACAGGAATCGGTGACACCAAGACTGTTGGCTGAGATGCAGGTGCTGCGGGGGCGGGTCTGGGAAGGAAAAGGCAGAAGGTTGGAGGTGGGCCAGGCGGCCTCAGTCCTTCAGACCTGCACCATGTGGGGGGCACCGTGGACGGAAGTGTCTGCAGCTCAGTTTTTTGTGCTTTTTCTTCCCCCCCTTTTTCTGGGTAATGGGGACAGGTCAGTGTGGGTGAGCATTTCCGGTGGCTAGGGTCTGGGAGAGTATCCAGTAACCAAGGTAAGCACGGGCTCACTTGTGCTTACTTGTCAATCTGTCCACCTCCCTCTGGGTCTCTGGGCCTCCCTCTGGGCTCCTGTCCCCTGTCTAGGTCCTTGCCGCTTCCTCTCTGAACTCCTCGGGCTGGGTGCCTGCTCACTGCCTCTGCCACTCTCCCCCTCCAGGAGGGCATCCTGGCCGTTTCTCCTGTGGACTTGAACTTACCCCTGGACTGACGTCTTCCTCCGAAGCTGCTCCGAACCTGGACCTCCTGTGCACCCTCCACTCTCAACAGTCTCCCTGTCTCCTCAGGGCTGTGAGGTGGTGGTCGCCCCCTATTTTTACCAAAAAAGGAATTATTTTAAAACTTTTCATATTAAAAGATTTTTTAAAATATCTCTCTGTTCTTTTACTTGACAACCATATTTTCTCCCCCCCCCTCCCCCACCCCAAGAAGAAGGGAGTGACGTGTTGGTTGCTGTCGGAAGGTTGGCAGTTTGAGTCCATCGATGGGCCTCAGAAAAAAGGCCTGGGAATCAGTTCCCAAAAAAGCAGCCCCTGCAAACCCTGCGTAGCCCAGCTGCACGCGTGGGGGCGCCAGGTGCCAGAACTGACGGGAGGGCGGCTGGCGTTTGGTTTTTAGGATCAGAGGATTTGCTTCAGAGATGCTGAGGCTTGTAAATTGACATGCACACCATTCATTCTAGAAGCATTTATTGTGAGTGCATGCAAGAGCAGCCGATCACCTAGACAACAGGGTGTTTGTTTTTTGTTTTATCTATCTATCTATATATATGGCATTTGACTGCTAGCCTGAAGGTTGGAGATTCAAAGCCACCAGCCGCTCCATGGAATCGATGTAATAGCAGTGAGGTGTTTTGTTTTGTTTTTTTCGTACACACACACACACACACACACACACATATACACCAAAAACCGGACTCACTTCTGTCAAGTTGAATCTGACCCATAGTGACCCCCACCCTTAGGTTTCCAGGCGGTATCTCTACGGAAGTAGATTGCCCAGCCTGCCTTCCGAGGAGTGGCTGGTGGGTTTGAACCGCCAACCTTCTGATTAGCAGTCAAATGCCTTGGGCACTACATCA